GCAGCGTGAAATTCTGCCTCCAATGATCTATGGCTCATTTCATTTGGTGAGCTGGATCTGTTGATCTCTTGACAAATCATTGAGCTTTTTTTAGCTTTCAGCGATAAGAGCTTTTTCAGCTAGCTGTTGAACTAAACACAGTTGGTGACATTGCTTGTGAAAGCTGTGGGCGACGGTTTTCTCGACAGACCTCTCTAAGACGTCATGTGCGAAAGAAACATCCAGAAAAAGCTCAGGGACTGATAAGGGGTCAGTTATTGTATCATAAGCGAACTGTTTCTCGTAAGTAATCCGTTTTTTAAAAAAAATACATCAACTTTGCAAAAACTCTCGTGATCCTGCCTCTAATTTTATCCACTTTTGGTATCTTGCTCACACAAAAGCAGAGGGCACCAAGGTATGTAGGTAGATTGGAGAAAATTCTATTTTATTGGATTACGGCCACCTTTGAAAGCTGACTTGTTTTAGAAAGCGCATTACTCGCGAGAAACACAATCTAGTTTTATCTAAATACAGTCGACTCTCTCTATAACGGAATGGAAGAGATCAAAAATCTTTTCCATGCCCAGAGTTTCATAACGTTGAATGGTTCGAGAAACGAGGCTTCTGAGGGCATTCAGGCGCTTTGAGATCTCGCTCGCCTGAACACGCTGCCGTCTGAGCTCAAAGATCGATTGTCGATGTGGAGACGCTGTCACCATTCCTGAAAACAATCATACTAATGCATTGAAAATTAGTAATGATACCATAAAATAAGAAAAATACACAAAAACCATAAAAACGGGTAAGCAAAAAGTGAAATGGGGCCCATAACATAATACGACGTTGTTGCGGTAATTCTTGGTCACCCTGTATAAGCGATTCCAAGATTTTCCTCCTTTATAAAGAGTTTTCATATAGAATTTCGCTATATAAAGTTTTTTTTCTTATATTTAAAATAGCTTAGCGTCGGCCGGGACCAACATTTCATTCCTTTAGAGAGCTTTCCGCTATATAGAGTTCCGTTATAGAGTTATAGAGAGAGTCGACTGTGGTGGGGAAATTCAGCTTCAGGAAATTTACCTCAAGACTCAATTTCCCTATGAAATGACAAAAAACAACAACAACTAGAGGACTATTTGAGTCAAATTCCAGATGAAACCGATTTCTCTTGTTTTGCTTGCCCAAAAGCTTTCCCAAGTCGTCGATTTCTCATGGAACATCTCAAAAATGAGCATTCTGAGTTAAAAATTCACGTTTTCTCTAAAGAATTTGAAAGTTTTGACGAATTTCTGGTGAGTTTATATAAAAAAAAATCATTGAAAAAGGTTTTAGCTTTTCAAAAAAGAGCTTGAGTCTTCACAAGGATCAACTTTCGTGAAAGCGTGTCATTGTAATACCAGGGGTGTACGATACATTACTTATTCTTGTATACGAGATATTACTAACAAGCTATCGAGATGGAAAAGCTTGTTGACAAAGGATGCAAACTGTTGCACGGCTTTCTTGAAGGTGATTTTGTTTGATTAGTGTAGAAGTGGCAAAAATCATGGCATTCTAGGCATTCAATGAATAATCTAGCTGTTATTTTCTAAAGCTAGCCTTCTTAAGAAATGTACGTTCTTCTAGTACGCTCTAGTACGCTTTTTGGGGAATTGAACCGGCTGGCAGGCACAAAGAATGACCTCGATCAATTAAAAGATCAATCGAGCACAAAGAATGAACTCGATCAATCGAATGACAGGAAATGGCGGTTTAAATGAGTCGATTTTGATAGAATACGGTAGAAATTGGCCTTAGGTGTACGGTAGATTGAATGTGCTAGAAATTACACTAATTCTTGTACAGTTCTCAAAATCAGTATAGGATCTTTTGATCTAAACCCAGAAGGCACCCTGGCCCCGTCAATTTGTCTTTTAGACCTAAAAGAACTTGATTCTTTAAATTATAAGTATTTTTATGCAAAATGTTCTAAAAAGGAGACAATTTGACTTCGTTGGGACTCGAACTCGCGGAAAACAAGGTTGAGCAGCCTCGTATGCCAACTACTTATCCACCAGAGTACTTGAACACGTTTTTTACAACGATGGAAAAGGCTTTTGTTCGACGGAGAAAGCCAATTTAAAGATTTTCCTCGTCCAGGATCAAAATTTAGATCGAAAATTGTAAATTAACTTTATTGACTTTATTAGATCTAAAGCTTTGCAGCGGAATTTTCCAAAACACTCTACTCTAAACCTCTTCTAACATTTAAGCCCACAAAGCTCACAAAACTCCCCTTATAAGCCAACAAAATCTAGGCCCAATCCGAGGTGGTAAGTAGTTATAGTTCTCTCCTAAATTACTACACTTTTCAAAGGCTCAACAAAAGTTAGAAGCGTTTTAAGTTAACCAGCTGCCATTTCAGGTTCGAATCAACGTTGACGGCAAAGTGAAAACTGAGCTTTGCACTGATCACAATGGACACGAAGAACTCCTAAAAACCGGTCCAATCTATGGAAGGTATCGTCAAGATGTTGATTTAAATCAAGAAGAAGAAGAAGATTTTGATTTAAATCAAGAAGAGGAAGAAGAAGATGTTGATTTAAATCAAGAAGAAGAAGATTTTGATTTAATTCAAGAAGAAGAAGAATATGTTTTTTTAAAGCAAGAAGAAAATGTTGATGAGATTTTCGAAAAGAAAATGTCAAGTGTTGATGGTGAAATTGATTCAACCAGTGACCCCACGAGTCAAGAGTTGGCTAACTCTCCAAAAAGCAACGATTGTTTGGAAAAGTTTGAAGATATTGATGCGGTAAAATAATCATATAATCATATAATCATAAATAATCATATAATCATATAATCAAAATGATAGGACCACCCCTAAATTTTACATTTTTTTAAAATGAAATTTAATAACGCGAAATAGCTTTTAAATCCTAGAAATATATACAAAAATAGGCATCTATACCATTTTTAACATTATCTGAACAAATTGCAACAAAATTATAACATTTTCTTTATTTAGCACCTGTTGCGAAATGATAGGACCACACACAGGGCTCCCTTTTTCTCGATGACGTCGAGTAGTCGACTTTTCATCGATTCACTAAGTTTTGAAGCGTTTGTGGTGGAATTGACGTCCAAGCTTGCAAAATTGCCTTTTTGAGTTGCGAAATCGTGTCGTAAGTCTTTCCATTAGCATAAATATTCCTCACGAGGATGTCCCATAAGTTTTCCATTGGGTTTAAGTCCGGTGAGCAGGCAGGCCATTCGAGAAAATCGATGTTGTGACGTTCCAGAAAAGCTTCAGTGGATTGGCTCACATGAATTGAAGCATTATCCTGTTGAAAAATATAGTGTTTCCCTCGATTTTGTGCTAGGAAAGGCAGTAGTTGATCCGCAAGGACATCTTGGTAATCGTTCGAGTTCATGCGACAAGTCACAAATCCTAAATCAAGAACGTCATCCACATTGAAAGCGCCCCATAGCGATCCTTCTCTGAAGTTTCGACGCCCACAAAGCATTGGATCTTTTCTCAAATCGTGCCAATAGTACTTGTTGCCGTCGGGATCATCCAAATTAAATTTTTTCTCATCGCTGAAGATGACTTACAAAGAAAAAAATAGTTAACAGCTCAAGGCCAAAAAGTTTACTTTTTTCCAATCGATGGCGATGTGATCCCGAGTCCAAGACATCCTTTTTTCTTTGTGTGCCGGCTTCAGTTTTGGTGCTTTCTTCATGATTGCTCTTTTGATGTAACGGATGTAACACTTGATGGCTCGAGAAAGAGTGATTTTGTGGACGGGAGCTCCAATTTTTACCTTGACGTCCTGTAGCGACATCACCCAATTCCACAACAGACGTCCCATATGCCGTTCAGCGCGGACCGTGAGCTTCCGATGACGTCCCGGAGACTTTTTCTTACCATACTTGAAAGGATCCTTCAAGAAATTTGAGACAACTTGGTGCGAGCGCTTCATTTTTTTGCGATCTTTCGATTCGACAACTTTCTTCCTTTCAAGATCAAAATTTTCATCTGTTCGATCCGCGAAAGCGATTTTCCACGTCCCATCTTCCTAAAAAATAAAAATTAGCAAAAAGTAAGCAAAAAACATGGTTATTACAGGTAGAAAATCAAAAAGAAACCAAGTGGTCCTATCATTTTGCGACAGGTGTAAAATAAAGAAATGCTTAAAATGCCTAATTTTGCCTTTTAAAGTAAATTATTTGGCAAACGGTATTTGGGCGTACTTTTGTATATAAAATTCGAATTTAAGCATCATTTTGCATTTTTAGTTATTTAAAATCAAAAATCGCAAAAATCGAGGGTGGTCCTATCATATTGCAGCACACTGTAGTATTACTTTGACTTTATTCTGATAGTGAACGAATTTAATCTTTAACTAAGTCCTAAAGCTTCAACTTTTTGATTTCAACACAGAATGACGCGCATTACTTATTGCATAACTTAATACTTAGAAGTAAAACATTGCCTTGCTACAGTCCTTGCTTTTCTTGAGTTGATCTTGGATTGTCTTTAGGCTGCTAGTCTAGAATCAAGTTGAGTATATAAATCTAAGCTTGAAGCTTAATTCACGACTCAATGGGCTATTGATGGATGCATTTGACTAGACAATGACAGCTCCAGATGCTGCCGACTGGCTAAGAGCCCCCTGCATCTAATTAGGGATGCTTTTGAACTTACAGACGGCTTTTGGCTTGTGATCTGGCACATTTTGTGCAGTTTTTTGCGCTGAATTCAACGCTGTAGGTCGTTTGAGGATGGCGTTTTTAAAGTTTCGAGATATTTAGCTTCAAAGTTTACACTAAAATCTCAACCGCGCCATTTCGCAACGCTATAAGGACTTCACAGAGAACTCAAGATACTGCACAAAATGTACTAGATTAAAAGCCAAAGCCGTCTGTATGTTCAAGGCAATTCCCTAGTTGATCGGGAGGTCAAGAATTCAATCCCGTCGGCTAGATTATTAGTTCTTTTTCCATATATATGGGTTCTTCCTTACATTTAGGGCTTAGCGGTAGTACTTGTGTATTGTTTGTACCACATTATTCCTATGAATAAATGTATTTTTAGTTGCTAAAGCAACTTCGCGAAGAGGCTCTCAATGCTTGCACGTCTGGCGACTCTTTGACTCTTGATCAAGTATTCTTTTTTTTGCATCAACTACTTGCCAATTCTAGATCTAGATTCTAGTTCTAAATTACTAAATTAATTAAATTAATCGCAAATACTGTAATTCAGGTTCTCTCAAAATTGAAAAACGTCTCATCGATGAACGAAGAAATGGCTTCAGAACAACGCAGTGGCTCGTCATTTGTTGGAGTTGAAACTAATGTTGAGTTGAAAAATTCACCTCAAAGAAAGGTGTGTTTATTAATTGTAAGTAAATCAAAGATGTTTATTATTTGTAAATTTCAGAATCCAAGCAGAATAAAAGTTACGGAGAAAGGAAGAAAACCATTTGGCGTGAATGAGTGAATGAACCCACTGATCCAAAAATCTTTATACTCTTGTTGGTTACTAAATCTCAATCATCATTTTGTTTTTGCGAAGAATGAAAATTCTATTACCGTATTTTCTGTAATAGTAGTGCGCACTACTATTTTTTCAACCTCCCTCCTGCCTGCACTACTATTACAGACCGCACTACTATTACAGACTGCGCTACTATTAGGGGGTTGTGGTTTCCCCCCCCCCTCTTTCCCCCCGCCCCCTCTCCTTTTTTTTTTTTTTTTCCCCTTTTTTTTTTTTTTTTTTTTTTTTTTTTTTTTTTTTTTTTTTTTTTTTTTTTTTTTTTTTTTTTTTTTTTTTTTTTTTTTTTTTTTTTTTTTTTTTTTTTTTTTTTTAATTTTTTCTTTTTTTTTTTTTTTTTTTTTTTTTTTTTTTTTTTTTTTTTTTTTTTTTTTTTCTTTTTTTTCTTTTTTTTTTTTTTTTTTTTTTTTTTTTTTTTTTTTTTGGTGGGTTTTTTTTTTTTTTTTTTAAAAAAATTTTTTTTTTAAAAAAAAAAACCCCCCACCCCCCCCCCCCCTTTTTTTTTTTTTCTTTTTTAAAAAAAAAAATAAAAAATTCCCCATAAAAAAAAAAATTTTTTTTTAAATTTTTTTTATTTTTCCCCCCTTTTTTTTTTTTTTTTTTTTTTTTTTTTTAAAAAAAAAAAAAAAAAAAAAAATTGGTTCTTTTTTTTTCCTTTTTTTTTTTTAAATTTTTTTTTTTTTTTTTGGGTGTTTTCTTCTTCGTTTGCAGAAAATACTGGTTTTTTAAAATAGTTTGTTTCCTCTTCTTTTACCTCCTTGAAAGCTTTTCCTTAAAGTTCTACCTTGGCTTGGAAGCTTGAGCCGTGATTGCTTTTGATTGCTTTTGAGTAAGCTTTTGGTAGGATAGCTTTCATTCAAGTTGTATTTATATCGTTTATTATGATTGAATAAAGTATTTATATCTAAGCAGTTCTAAGTAGAGTGTGTTCCTCGCGAGTAATGCGTTCTTTAAAACGCACACTTGGGAAAAAAATTACCGTACTTTTAGCAAAAATTATTGCAAAAAAATGGGGTAAGCTAATTTCCGCCATTTTATTTGCGCAACTCGCCATAACTTTCTTCCAAGTAGGCCAATCTTTATCATTTTGATGTCATTTTGTAGATCTCAATAAGTGCAACAAAATGACATCAAAACGATAAAGATTGGCCTACTTAGAAGAAAGTTATGGCGAGTTGCGCAAATAAAATGGCGGAAATTAGCCTACCCCAAAAAAATGACGGAAAAATGACGAGGCCCGCATTATATACAACACTTTTTAAAGATACTCAGCCGTTTAACTGATTTGGTGGGGAAATTCCCTTCCAATGTAAAAAATGATTTTTTTTTGAAAATCCCGCGCAAAAAATTGCTTTTATATTTTTTTCGCGCAGGCGCACTGTTTAGAAAGCGCATTACTCGACAATTACTCATGCAAATTTACTCGAGTAATTACTTACTCGCGAGGAACACACTCTAGTTCTAAGCAGCTATCTATCATCAAGGAAATTCTCTCTCATCATTGTGTACGAAATACACCCATAGACCTAGGCTACAAACATCAATCGCTTGGCTTCTTTCACTCTCAGCTGTTCGCTCTATTCGAAAAATTGCATTGGAATCTCCTTTTCTTTTCCATTTTACTCAGTTTTACCATTTAAAACGCGTTAGTGTCTAATTGTTAATTTGAATTGTTTTGCATTTCCGGGGGGTGGGACAAAGGTGCGCTTTTGGTCGGGTGCGCAAAAAAAGGTGCACCTTTGTCCCAACCCCCATTTCCTACTTTCTCTCTTTTTTTTGCGTTCACATTTAACCATGAGCATTTAACCATCTACAGGGTGTTCAATAATTGCCTGGACTCAGTATTTTGAGTGTAACTCAACATTCAGATATGCAATCATCTCACGCTTTGTTTTAATAGAAAATTTAAATATTTTTCTATTCTGGATTCTTGGGTTTGACAAAAAAACTTGTTCTGCCTTTTTTTATAGAAGCTCAAAGTTGGCAGTGAGGAGTTGCTTGTCGCGGCACTTGTTTTTTCCTTTCATTTCCAGAAAATCCCAAAGATTGAGCATGCTTTTGAACGCTTTTGTTTTTGCAATACGTTTTAAACATTATCAAATGAATCGAAAGGTCACGTGACATTCAATTAGGCAAAACTTTGCTATTTTGCGAATCTTGGGCCTTTGGCTGTGAACCGAAATTTTTCATTTTTCAGTTTCTTTTAAATGTGAATCTTTGGTCTTTAGGTAAATGTAACCTAGTAAAACTAAATTTAACGCTAAAACTTTCATGAGCACCAAAATTTTTGTTAAATCCTCCAAAAACAAATGCCGCGACAAGCAACTCTTCACTGCCAACTTCTCGCTTCTATAAAAAGAGGCAGAGCAAGCTTTTTTTGTCAAACCTAAGAATCCAGAATAGAAAAATATTGAAATTTTCTATTAAAACAAAGCGTGAGATGATTGCACATCTGAGTGTTGAGTTACACTTCAAAATACTGAGTCCAGGCAATTATTGAACACTCTATACAGCTAGGCCTACTCGTTATCCCAAACATTTCCCAAATCTGATTCTAAAAACAAGATGCTTTCATTTTTTTAACATCTCTTTTGATTATGGCCAACTATATGAAATTTTTATTTTTTAGATGTCTCAAACTTCTCCGACGAGATCTCAAGGACCGATCATCCCAACGCAACAAGCTCTCGAATTCATCCTGCCGCAATCATCTCAAAACTCTCAACAATCAAAATCCAACAATTCAGAGCAAAACCTTTTAAAACGACCGAAAGAAGAAGAAAAAGAGGAAAACAATGAGAACAAAAATGAATCAAATCGAGGAAAGAAAAAGCGACAAAAGAAGAATTCGGGATCAAGTTATGAAGAAGAAGTGGAAAGATTAAAGGATGAATTGAGGATGATCGATGAGGGAACACATCCAGAGCTCATTGAACAATTTGAACTTTTTGAGAAGAGACGAAAAAGACAAGTGGAGCTGGAGGATATCGAGGATGAGGTTTGTTTTTGAGACTGGGATGACCTTGTAAACTAGTTGATAGTAAAATGAAGTAATGGTAATAGTAATTGATAATAATAGTAGTTGATAGTAATAGTAATTGATAATAATAGTAGTTGATAGTAATAGTAGTTGATAGTAATAGTAGTTGATAGTAATAGTAGTTGATAGTAATAGTAATTGGTAGTAATAGTAGTTGATAGCAGTAGTAATAGTAGGTAGTAATGGTAGTAATAGTAGTTGATAGCAGCACCCTTTTCCATTACTATAGTAATAGTAATGGAAAAGGGTGTCCCAAAATTATCCGGAGAAGTTTCAAAGTAAAGTAAACTTTTATAACAAAAAAATTTATTGAAGTCAAAGAATTAAGTTAATAAAAATCATTTTTCGAAATGTCCACCATTTGCCGCAATCCATTACCTCAATCGCTTTGGAAAGGCGTCAACGGCTTTCTCGACCACACTAATAGGAATTTCATCCCAAGCCTTCTTAAGAGATTCCAATCTATAAGACTATCAATTGTTGTGTGTGCCTTAGCGCAAGCTTTTGACTCCAAAATCTAGAGACCAGATAGAGCAATCGAGCAGGTTAAGGTTAGGGTTATTTGAAGGCCAATCTCCTTGATGACGCATACCTTGATCTTGATCAACTTTGATTTGATCGGGAAAATTTTGAGCAATCCAATCTTGTGTTTCCATAGCTTTGTGACATGTAACATTACCTCTACATTTATTCTTAGTTTGAAGAAGCTGAAATCAAACGAATCTCGAGCGAGATGCAGAAAAAGGAAAAAGAAGTGAGTGAAGTTTGCTTTTGTTTTGCGGAATTATTGATGAAATGTTATTTTTTAAACATTTACTTTCATACATAAACTGTAATTTATTTTAGGCAAGCGCTGAAGCTGAGGAACGTGTCGCTGGAATCGTTCAACAACTTTTAAACGAACTGGACAGGGAAATGAAGAAGGTTTGTAGGAAATTTAAGATGCCTTAGCTACTCGAATAGCAGACAGGGTGGCCCATAATTATAAGTCAGTTAAAAAGCTTTTTATGTAAACAAAATTCAACTTTAGAGAGCAAACTTTTGTTTTAAAATCTTTATTTGATATCAACGAATAATAAATTTACAATTACAGGGTGATCAGAAATAACCTGTCCTTTTTTCTAGGCTCATATTTCTGTTATTTGTAGACAAAAATGATTAATTTCTTTTTTTAAATGAAAATTCACATCGTTTTCTGTATATGTTCAAGATTTCATGAGCATAGCATCGATAGATAATTTTTTATCAACGCTTAAAATTTCCTTGCATTTTCCATTTTGATATTCTTCAGAATTTTTAGAATTTCCAGATTGACACGAGTCTGCTATGAAGATAATTAGGATATTATTAAAAATGCAGAACTGTTTACAATTATTTCAATAGTTTTAGGTAGACTCCTACATTTCTGGACTTGACATCGCTCGTCCCTACAACGAAATGCCGTGCGATTCGTCGAAGAAGATTCTCCGAGCTCCGTAAGTGATTAGATAATATGAAAAAGATCTAGTTTCAAGTAAATTTAGCAATCTAGCTTAAATTTCATTTCAGTATTTCATATTTACCGATCAAAAAGCCCACCGACACCGGCAAAACCATTCAACCGCCGATTCCTCTATCATCAAAGATCAACACTTTTCTGCTGAAAGATGCCGAGATTGCTGATGATTTGAAGGTTCGTAAATAGATTCAATATAGTTACCGTTAAAATTCTAATAGAAGATCATGGTCTTCTAATTTCCATCCCCTTAAAATTGGCCGGTCAAAAAAAAGTAGATAAAGGTCTTCTATTGGAGACTGGTCTTCTATTAGGATTTTTACGTTAAGCATAAATTCAATATAGATTCAAACTTAAATTCAATAGAGTTAAGTAAATGCTTTTACTTGAAAGTTAACAAATCTTAAAGTCTACTGTGCTAACCCTAGATTATCTTTTTACTGTAAGTTAGAGTAATCTGTCTGGTCGTCTGGTCGGTGTCTGGTCGACATATAAACCGTTGGCCATTCAAATATTTAAACTGATACAAATATTATCTGAATCCCTCAATTTAGTCAATTGGCACCGACGGGAAAAGTAGTCCAATGAAAGGGAGCAGTCACATCGATGTCACCCTGTCAAAGCTGAAGTTCAGTTATGGAGGACGATGGTTGGTTTTACTAATAACATATACTATTGGGTTGGTGAATTGAAAACTGCGGGACTTTGAACTAAAATTTATTCAACATAAAACCATGAATCCATTCGAAATAATTTCCATTATTATTGACGACTTCCGCCCATTTTACAGGCAATTTGCGGATTCCTCTTTCGTAGTAGGATTTTGGTTTGTGTGTGAGACAAGTGTGAGATTCAAAAATGGAGATCCCAGTTTGAGCACTTTCTTCAAAAGAAACCCATTTTGGTGTCAATCGAAAAGTTGTAGAGAATCAAAAATTAGGCTTATAGCCAAATTTCCAAAAAGATACACTTAGTAGTTTCGCTTAAAATGCAAGTTTTGTGAAAATTCGTAAATTTGGCATTTCTTGAAAACCAGTTTTTGAATCGTTCTCGAAATTTGGATATAAGCTTGATTTTTGATTCTCTACAACTTTTCCATTGACACCAAAATGGGTTTCTTTTGAAGAAAGTGCCCAAACTGTGACATATGACAATAACCGGCAGTTTTCAATTCACCAACCCAATAGAAATGATTATAACAAATTAAATAACAATAAAACGATTATAGCAAAGTCAAAAAAGCACTACTTTTATCGTAATTAACCCTAAAAACGTATGAATTTAGAAAAAAACGATGTTTAAAGGCATCAGACTCGAATTTGAACTTGTTTTAACATAGCGTAGCATAGCGTTTTTGTCTTCCTCGGCTAGGGTTGTTGAAGAAAGTGCTCAAACTGTCACATATGACAATAGCTGGCAGTTTTCAATTCACCAACCCAATAATATTATCGTATTCACCGTATGCTACAAGTTATTTTCTAGGTACAAACCCAGCGAGGAGGTGCTCGTCGAGAACAGAGAGTACGGGAAAATTCCCGCGAAAATCGACACGATCAACGATGAGGTGGGTAAAAAGAAAGCATCAAGATTTATTTCGACATTTTTGCCTCTCAAATGAATCAGTCGTTTTAGGTTGTCATTTTTAAATCGTGTTTTTCGTGGGATGTCCGTCAGATTTGTGCCTCGTCTGCTGATTTCGCCGAGGGTCGGGTGATCATTCATAACAAAAAGCGAAACGCATAAGTTTTTTTTTGTTTGAAAATACGGGTCATTTTTTCTGTTTTTTTTTTTTTTTGAACCAAATAAAGCACTGCTGTTTCAAGAGTAATGCACAAAAGAGAAGAATTCTTCTCGAGCTCTTGAATTCATCCTCCCGCAATCATCTCAAAACGCTCAACAATTAAAATTCAATCATGCGTTTTTTCTAAAATTTCGCTAAAAAGACTTACCTTTAGTGTTTATTTTGATTCTGTGGAAAAATTTGATCTACTTCTGTGAAAGTTTACTGAATAATACTAAAGTGGATAGATTGGATAAACTTGAGATAAGATTACTGTAGAAAAACTATAGCTAAGGTTTAAACTAAGGCTTAAAAAACAGACTAGGAACACAGTCTAAAGCCAACAATAATTTGATTGTTAACAAAATTCATAAGCAGTTTCACTGAGGGATATTTCGTTCCAATACGGTTCCAATACGGTTCCTATTTTGTTTAAATATGACACCAATACGGTTCCAATACGGTTCCAATACGGTTCCTATTTTGATTCATACGGAATACGGTTCCAATACGCCATTCCAATTAGCCAAGCCTGGATCTGTAGCCAGACAAAGGTCAGCAATGAGGTCTTCAGTAAAATCAAGACCTGGCCTCTAGTCTAGCTCTGACATTCTGACATCACTTTGTCAAAGAGAGTCACACAACTCCCAATCAACTTATTGATCTCAATAGCTTTTGTTTCTTTGGTAAGATTGCTGTCACTCAAAGGATGAGCGCAAGAACGACTCTTTTTCCCTCCCTGCATGGGAAGTACACGAGTTATCTGGCATAGAAGTTTGCGACATCGAGAAGCGTTTTAAGCGAGCTTTCTCGCCTTTTTCGGCATATGGGCAGCTGATTTTTGCACCATTGTGATCAGCAAAGTCAATTCTACAACTTCTATTTTAGTATCGGGCGATCGGGGGTACTTCCCTTGTCAGGAAACACCCAATATAGCCCCTTCCCTTACCTTCCCTTCCCCCCAAATAACAACACAAGATTTCCCTCGTGCCCATATGTGGAAAAGAAATGAAAGGAGAAACAACGATCTCTCATTTTTACCTCGCAATCCTTTCTCTCGAATCCTCGATTTTTTTCAGTCTCTGTGCCGAAATTGGTCACCTGTTTTCTCTATTTTTCAGCCGCGCGCTTTGGGAGAAACGAAAATACTACTTGAAAGCCTGGAAAGGGCTTGGATTGGGGAAGGGGTTGGGTGAGAGATAAACAAGAAAAACTGTAAGAAAAACGGAAAAGAATATCGAGTCTTGTTTCGCAAAACAAGGATATCGCCTTTGTTCGAATAAGAGCTCGAGACCTACAATCTAGAGCTTTAGAATTAAAGGGTTTTACAAGAGGTTAATAGTTTCAAAGTCAAAACCTTAGGTCTGGGTGATTGGCTTTAGTTTGGAGGAAAATAGACTAGGCAATTTGCTGATTACTTTGAAAGCAAATAGTAACTGTGAAATTGAACAAAATTTAAACAAATTTCATAGTCTCTGAACTTATGAACTTTTCTTTTCTTTTCCAAAGCAAATGCTTGTAGTTCATGAGCTAAAAATAAGGCTACAACTCTAGATCTACAGCTCTAGATCGATAACTCTAGATCTACAGCTCTAGATCGATAACTCTAGATCCACAAAAAAAAAAAAAAAAAAAAAAAAAAAAAAAAAAAAAAAAAAAAAAAACTAAAAAAAAAAAACCTAAACTCTAGATCTACAGCTCTAGATCGATCTACAACTCTAGATCTACAACTCTAGATCCACAAGCTACAACTCTAGATCTACAACCTACAACTGTAGATCCACAATCTCCAACTCTAGATCTACAACCTACAACTCTAGATCTACAGCTCTAGATCTACAATCTACAACTCTAGATCTACAACCTACAACTCTAGATCTACAGCTCTAGATCTACAATCTACAACTCTAGATCTACAACCTACAACTCTAGATCTACAACTCTAGATCCACAAGCTACAACTTTAGATCTACAACTCTAGATCTACAACCTACAACTCTAGATCTACAACCTACAACTCTAGATCTACAACTCTAGATCTACAACCTACAACTTACAACTCTAGTTCTACAATCTAGAGCTTTAGAACCAAGAGGTTGCACAAGAGCTGATAACAAGTCTTACTTAAAGTTTGATCAGCATCAGTTTGATCAGATCCAAAAGCTTCAGATCTTCAGATCAGATCCATTAGGCTCTAACTATAAGTATAAATCAAAATCTTGACATTCACATGAGTAAAGTGAACTCTCTTTTCTTTAAACTTCGTAAAAATTCAGACGGAAAAAGATTGACTTTCAAATTTCAGTGATTTTTCCCATACCAATCAAATTCTAGATCCGTGCTTTGTCTAAAGATCATAACCATCAAAAACTCTATAAATGTTTCAACAAGATGAATCAACTCGCCATTTTCCCTGTACCAATTAGTGATTCTAGGCTGCCATTCTACCGTTTTTGGCAAGGGGAGGGGCCTGAGCAAAAAGAAAAAGATGAAAAAAAAAAGAGTGGCTCGTCTATCTCTTTGTCCACCGCCTTTTTTCCCCTCTTGCACTCCACTTTTTCTCTGATCTCTCGTCGGGTGCGCGCCGGGGGACCGTGAGGCGGGGGAACTGTCTGTTGGCAGCCACAGGGCACTACTCGGGAGAGAGCGCCCATCCCCTCCCACCTCCTCCACACTCCTCTCACCAACACCCGGGCTCAGCCTCTGTGCTGTGCCTGGATTCAATCCAGCTGATGATCATGCTCTCGTCGTGCCAAGATCGTTCAGCTATTGACCGAATCTCGACTGCTCTTCAGCAAAAAATTCAACAAAATAAGCGACCCGGCTCACCGATTCTCACCGAAACCCAATCCAAGAAAACCCCGATCTTCACAGCTGATTTATTCAAGAATGAGACTAGTCTTGATGTCAAATCAGTAATCGTGCCTATTTCTGATTCGATTAAAGAAGAATTGTCCTCAGATTTGTTGAAAGCCGAGCCAGGATCGGATGCAGCTGAAGAAGAGCATTTCTCTGATTCAGAGAGCTCTCAAGGTACAAATGAAGAGTCGGGTTCAACTGAATGTATTTCCCCTGGTCCTGCAAATCCGGCAGATGTTTTCTGTTCAGTTCCCGGTCGACTTTCATTACTTTCGTCTACTTCAAAATACAAGGTCACTGTGGCTGAGGTTGGTATTTTTCACGCGATTTTTTTTGTGACTTGGCGTAGACGTTGGCCCGTAAGGGAGTCTCTTCTTTACATCGCGATTCTTTCTGTTTGCGCAGGCCGTATGGATTCTGGGCAAGGGGACGTGAGAGGGTAAAAAGGGGGAGAAAAAAAAACGAAAAAAAACGATTCAGGGAGAAAGGGGAATGGTTCTGTGTTTATAGAGAAAGAGGGCCAAGTGAATAGAAGTGAACAGTCTTCTTCCGTAAACGAAGAGCATCTTGAAACTCTTGACGGCGCCGCGCTGAAACCTTGCCCGTTTATGGGCATAGGTCTAAGCAATTGCTTGAAGATTGCTTTCGGGATTTCGGGAAGGCTTTGGAAATCAAGAACCTTATAAAAAAAACTTTATAGGGAATTGTTTGAAGTCTTTTAAACCACTAGTTTTTTTTACGAATCACTTATGACTTTCAGACTGATTTTAGAGATTTAGGAGAAGACTTAGAAACAAAATAAGCTAGATAACTAGCTAGATAAGCTAGATAACTGGCTAGATAAGCTAGATAAGCTAAATAACTGGCTGGATAAGCTAAATAACTGGCTAGATAAGCTAGATAACTGGCTAGATAAGACTAGCCGAGCTAAAACAAGCTAAAACAAGCTAAAACAAGTCAAAACTAGTAGCTTTCAATTGGCTTTGATCTAGAATTTATTTATTGTTCGATTGGCATACTTTGACTTGAATCTTGGCTTTGATTTGGCTTTGTTTTGGCTTTGTTTTGGCTTTGTTTTGACTTGGCCAGGGTTTAGGCTCTGCTTGAGAATCAAAAAACTTATCCATTTTTTGATTAAACCTTAGAAAAATGGGTTAGACTTGGTTTTACAAAGTATTGAGCGCATTTCTCAACACTAAAACTTTACAAGTCGGAGCTTTGTTAGCGAAAAAAGCATCACCTAGAACTTTTCCAAAAACATTTAGCATTCTAGAAATCTAGAAACGATTCTAATCTAGAAATTCAAATGATTCTAATTTTTCCTAGTTAAAGTTAGCAATTCCAGATTCAAAGATGGCTTTTGTGAACCTGAAAACCGCTTTCCTTTGCTGATTCACCTTTGCAAAAGGTTGAGCCAATTTAGAGCCAAACACATTGACAAAATCATAGAAACTTTCTCAAAGATTTCCCTTTTCATTATCGATCCCAAGATCGTTATTTCAATATTTCCTATTGCTCCAAGCACATGATCTCTTTCCCAGGTATCTCTCGGCATTTCAACAAAAATCCTTGCTGAAAGTGCTATCTTTTGGCATGTGTTTTTCTCTTTTCAGCCGTTATCAGCTCGGTGAGAGGTTTGCCTGGGGCGGATGATTCTCCGACTGTAAACCGTTGGAGAGAAAGAATGGGGAAAGGGGAAGAGAGGCTGGCTCGAGTGCCTGAAGGGGCTTCTGACGTAACCAGGGAATTCTTTGGGGGAAATAGAATTCAATAGTAAAAAGAAAATCTCACGCTAGTCTAGCTCTTAGCTAGTCTAGTTCTTAGCTAGTCTAGCTCTTAGCTAGTCTAGTTCTTAGCTAGTCTAGTTCTTAGCTAGTCTAGTTCTTAGCTAGTCTAGTTCTTAGCTAGTCTAGTTCTTAGCTAGTCTAGTTCTTAGCTAGTCTAGTTCTTAGCTAGTCTAGTTCTTAGCTAGTCTAGTTCCAATTGCATTTGAATAATTAAAAATATCTATGCTACATCAGAATTCAAATCTGAATCTTGACCGCGTCACTTTGCGTGCTTGTATCTTCAAAACTAGTGGGGCGATTTTGATGTTTTTGGTGTCATCTTGTAGAGCAAGACTTATAGATTCGGTTTGGGCTCCAGTTCGCATTCGGACTCCAGTTCGCATACGGACTCCAGTTCGCATACGGACTCCAGTTCGCATACGGACTCCAGTTCGCATACGGACTCCAGTTCGCATACGGACTCCAGTTCGCATACGGACTCCAGTTCGCATACGGACTCCAGTTCGCATACGGACTCCAGTTCGGATTCGCCAGTTGAACTTGAAGTCCTGGTTAAGTTTTAAGGCTAAAGTCTGGCTTGTCTTGTCAATTTTGAACTTCCAACATTAGCTTCAACTGAAAAAGCTAAATTCCAATATTTTAAGCGTTTCTTTAACTATAAGCTAAATCTATAAGCTCACTTTTGCAAAAGCAATCACTCTAAAATCGCTCAAATTTCCAATTCACTCTCCCACATCTAATAACTCCCCCCCCAGCCAATCATTTTGCCATTTTTCAGCCTGTGGGAGTGTGTGGCCGGAAGGCAATCGATTGTCAATGTTGAATTGAATGCGCTTTCCTCCGGGGGGAGGAATTGGGCAGAGAAGGGGCGCTCCCCTCACCCCTCCGGCCTATCCAAAAAACAACGGTATTCCATCAGCATAAAGACAGCACAGTGCTTTGTAAAGTACAAAAAGAGACAGAGATAATGCTGACTAAAGTAAAAGATTAAAGAGAAAGATTAAAGATAAATCTGAAAGAGAAAGCTTAAAGAGAAAGCTTAAAGCTTATTAAAGTCTTCTAAATGTAGGCACAGTCTTCTAAATGTAGGCACAGTCTTCTAAAAGTAGAACTATCTTTCCAACTCCTCTCCACTCCACTGCTGGAGTCGTGATTCAACTCTTCAGTTCGATCATCACTCTCACAATAGCTGATTTCTGTCTACTATTATATTTAGATCTAAAGAGTCAACTAAACAATCAAAGCTTGACTATCATATCAATTTCAAACGAACAGTTTAATGTTTTAATCCTTCTTTACCACAAAACAGCATCATCCCTTCGGCATTTATCCCTTCAGCACCTTTAAAATCTTGCTTTTCTTTTCGAAATGAATTTTAGAACCAGCTTTTTAGAACTAGCCAACTTTGAGCTTTCAAAAAGCCTTTGTGCAAGTCAAACTTTCCAACTTTCCTCGGAGTCTCTCCAACTTCCAACTTTCCAACTCACTTTCTCGCAGCTTCCCCCCAGTCAAACTTATTGCTAAATCCTCCTTAATTTCCATAACAAAATTGTGACAAAAACAAAATTCTCTCATTCCTTGGGGATAGTTTTTTCTATTTTTAACGTGTTCACAAAAAAAAATTCGAGAGAAAACTGGTAAAAGAGAAGAGAGAAATTTCAGGGAGACAATTTTTGGGGAAAATGGGCGAATGCCAGGGGATAACAAAAGCCGGAGAAGGAGAAAAGAAAAGGGGAAAAGAATTGTCAAAAGTAAAATTTTGTGGTATTTCTCTCGACGATTTTCTTCACTTGATCCAAAGTTTTGAGAAGAGAATTTTTAAGGGAAGAGAGGGCTTGGATACTCCCGAGACTCTCCCCAAGACTCTCCCCAAGACAAGACTCTCCCCAAGCCTCTCCCCAAGACAAGACTCAAGATTTGCCGAGAAATCGCTTTTGTGTGCTGGACTAGAGTTTGTCGAGGGTTTTTGGGCAAAATATCAGCACCCATAGAAGAATAGATATTATACTTGTATTAAGGATAGATATTATAGTTATTATAGATACTATAGACTGTATTGTTGTCTAGAAAATCAGGGTCATCGCGGGATTTTGGTATTTTGAAAGAATCCGGGGTATTTTCAACGGCTCGTCACACTTTGAAGGCCTATAACTTTGTTCAGAGATCATATTCTTGTTAACTTTTTATATCATTGTACAGAGGGCATTTCAAGCTTTCAAATGTTACCAAATAGAACTTGATTGGATTTTTCATTCACCTGCAAACAAGGCGAAACGACACCCGAGTTGCATAGGCCTCATTTGCTCAGAGTTGGCTCTGACTTTCTTGGACCTGATTGTCCAATCAAGCTCTATTTGGTATCATTTGAAAGCCTGAAATATGCTCTGTCCAATGATATAAAAAATTAACAAAAATATAATTCCTGGAGAAAGTTATAGACCTTCAAAGTGTGACAACCAGTTTAAGACCCTGATTTTTTCAAAATACCTGGATTCTTTCAAAATACCCAAAAACTTTTAGTACTTTTAGCACTGTTTCTTTAGTACTTTTAGTACTATTTCCCCAAGCTTCTCAATACCTTCATTCTTAAAACGAAGCCAATAATATAACAAAGCCATTTCAAAAGTACTCAGTTGGTCCGCTCCAAAAGTACTCCATTGTTCTCAAGTTCGTTTTGACTTCAATGCTGATGAGGGATTTGATTCCAATGCTAGCTACTGCTTTGTACGTACTCCAAAGCTAGCTACTGTTTTGTCCGTACTCCAAAACTAGAACCTGTAATTCTCAAAGAACAAAGCCCCATAGATGCCCTTGATGGCATCTGTTCACCTTTTTCTGTTCATCTGTTCAACCATTCTATTCCCAGCCTTGAAAACTCTAAAACCTTAACCCTAAAATCTTATCTTTCGAAAACAACCAAGACACTTTGAAGCTTAAAAGAATTTTGTTCTTTAGAAACAATTTTTGTATTTGAAATTCTGTTCAAGTGTTGAATTTATATCGAGAAATGGTCTTCTCTAGAGCTTCGTCTTTTTCTAATGCTTTTTTCAATCTAAGATGCCATTTTAGAAGTGTCCTTGGAAATAGGATAACCGAACAGATTAGACTCGTGCTGATGCCCAGTTGAAAGTCATTTTCTTCTCTTTTCCAAAATCGGTTGCTCCTTTCACCTCTTTTCTTTTCAAAATGTCCTTTGTCTGACGGTTTGGTGGATTTCATGGAATGGAATTGGAAAGAGATCCCCTTTTACCGCAACACATAAATTGCCGAATCGCTTTTGTTTTGGCTTGCTTGTGGCCCACCGTATGTTAATGAGTTTGGCCGCCCATGTGTTGAATGGGAGAATGAGTTGGCCAGAAATCGAGGACTCACACCCAATAATAAGCGAGCCAATACAATGAAACATTTAGAAGATTGGATTGAATATTTAGAAGATTGGATAGAAGATAGATAGAAAAGTTTTCAAATTTAAGCTAGCTAGCTTTCAAACTTGAACTATTCAAGTTCAAGCTTTGGACTTG